TAAGTAATCTCTTACACAAGGGCTTAATGGCTCCATAGTAAGATACAGCAATCTTTACTAACTTCTTTTGAGGAAACATTTTTGTATCATTCTTTTAACAAATTACACAAGCAATATAAAATAAATTATTGAGAACCTGCTATGTGGGCAGGCTTAAGGGGTGGCTGGAAGGTGCAGCGGTGGTGGGATTGATATTGGTAAACTGAATGTCTGTAACATATAACAAATCATCCTGAACAACTTTGTAAACCACAGGGTGTTTATATAAAGTATAAGAGGAAAATAAAATTTTTAAAAAATCAGTTTCCAGAAGGACTCATTCTTGAATCTTTATTGGTTTTTTTTTTTATATTTTTATTTCCTGAACATTTTCCAGAGCCACACATTACCATACACACACTTTGTGACGCAAAATCCTTCGCATGATCTGACAGTTCTGTTAAAAGCTTTCTACCTTTTGAATGCCCTGCCACAGAGGCAGGGTGGGATGTGGGGATGGGGGTTGGGAGGGGTACTGGGATCAGTGGTGGTGGAAAATGGGCACTGATGGAGGGATGGGTACTCGATCATTGTATAATTGAAACCCAAGAATAAAAATTTGTAAGTCTACAACTGTACCTCATGGTGTTTCACTAAATAAAAAATTAAAAGAAAAAAAGTTTTCTCCCTTTTGCCAGACTGGGTTTAATTTGGGTTAGATTAAGTAGCTGAGCACAATCTCAATCACTAGGAGTGAGCAGCCACCCACAAACATCTTCTTCCCCACCCCCCCCACCCCCTCCTGGGTCAGCTGCCAGGTTAGCCCCACAAGGCACTGTTCACACGTTGCCTTAGTAAGGATGGCAGAAGTATGGAGGGTGGTCAATGGGCTTATTCAATTCACATTTATGTACTAAATTTCTGCCATAAACTATCCAGACTGGCCTCATTAATACAGAATACTCGCAAACTCAGAGGGGAAAAAAAGCAATTTAAACAGAAGAAAATACAATTTATCCTCAAAAACTGAACTGACTCTAATTAAGGCCACTTCTGACGCAGTCCTCACCACCAAGATGATGCAATGTTGGAGAACGCTCCCCTAGATTCTACTTTATTAATTTCATACTCTTGCAAAACTATTAGCACAGATAAACCCGGAAAAGGGAAGATTCAAAACCCTGAGTGTACGGTCTCCACTCTCTTTCTCTCAGGTGGGAGGAAATGACCAGCTCACAGTTAAACTAGAGAGGCACATTTCAGAAGCCCTGAACATTTCTCTTTAAAAATTACTTGCTCTTCACCACATATGGTCCCCTGAACCCCACCAGGAGTGATTCCTAAGCTCAGAGCCAGCAGTAAGTCCTGAGCACCGCCAAGGCATGGACCAAAAAAAAAAAAAAAAAAGGCAAAACAAACAAAAATATACATTTAAAAACAATAATCTGCTCTGTAAAACACCATAGACCATGTGCCATAGCATGATGTTTGTCTCTACATATCCACCAATAAGAAAGATGATTTTATTCTGGAAATCAGACATTGGGACTTGTGGTATTTTTCTTTCATACTTTACAACTGCTTTCAATCATTTAATCCAATTACTTGAGAGCTAAAGAAAATTTTGGACAAATCTACGTATGCTTGCAGCAGAAAAAGAGGGCAAAAATTGAAGGCATATAAGCAATCATTATGAAAAGCAAAATGGAAATGAGTCAATAAATTAAAAAATGATTCCACTTCTAGAAATTTGCCAGAATACAAAAAAACTAACTTAAAGAGTTATCCCCATGTTACTGCAGTAAAATTCATAATAACCAACTACTGGAAGCAACTTAAGTGACTACCAACAAATGAATAAAAATGTGGTATCGACACATAATGGAATATTACTCAGCTATTTTTAAAAGCTGCCAAATTCTGTCGTTTGGAAAAAAAACACAGAAGGACATACAAAATCTTATGTGATCACAAAGGGCCCTGTAATCTTGTTAACATTTTCACAATGGGGACTGGAGATTGCAGAAATGAAAAACTGCCAAAAGGAATTATCTCTTGGGAGCAGCTGGCACTGCTGGCTATGTGGACTCGAACCACTCAACCAAGCCATCCTCAAGACCACCAAAAAAGGTGTCTCCGGGATACTCCCTGGTTGCCTCAACAGAGCTTACCGATCATATCCTATCATCAGAACACCTCAAGAATGGGGTACATCTCCCCTTAATACTTATGCCCACCACCTGTGAGGCACAGCTGTTTCTCCTTGGGGAACTGCCCACACCTGTGTTTGTGCCCTAATAAACTTCTACCTTTTGCTTCTCACTGTGCTTAAACTCTTTTACCAACCCAAATACAGCACTGTTAACATTTCACTTAGCGAAATTAATCAGATGGAGAAAGACAAACACCATACGCTCTCATTCACATGTGATATATAAAGAAAACAAAGAGATGAACTAAATTAAACCAAGAATGTATATTTTTTAAAAAAATAATAATATGCTTTTAGACTATTAGTGGTTACCAGAAGAGTGATTAGATTGGGCAAAAGGGACAACTGCATGGTGAAAGAGAACTGAACTTCTAGCAGTGAAATTAAAGTAATATATACATTTGTTCTTTTTTATAATGCACATGTGAAGCTTATATGTTATAATGCAAAGTTACTTCAATTACAAAAAAAAAAGCTATGCAAGCAAGCCACCAAGCCAGAATGAGTAACAGCATGGCACACTCTGTGATCAATAGTTCTCTGATCATAAATTCCCTTTGGAATCTCCCTGAAACCAAAAAAGATCTACAGTTTTTCTTTGGAATTTTTTACAGTTATTTTACACATCTGGAATCAGCCACAAATTCCCTAAAATAAGGCTTTATGACATTCCCTCGCTACAATTAACATACTCTTGTCTTTTGGAGGGAGATGGGGGAGAGGGTTGTTTGGGGGCCGCGTCGGGCGGTGCTCAGGGGAAGGCATGCAGTGATGTGTGGGATCAAGCCTGGGTCCACCCCACGTAGGGTAAGTGCCTTACTGCTATACTATAACTGGCCCCAACATACCCTCTCTAGTGGAAGAAAGGTATTTTACTTTCCATCACGCCCTCTCAGACTGTACCTACCCGACATCTCAATCTCTAACTTGGTACTTAAAAAAAAAAATGTTCCTTCCATTTCTCCAAGTCACTTATTCTCTCCCTTTAACAAGATTTCCTCTCCAGTGTGGCTGAGGAGGGGACACCTTTCACTTAAGCTGTCTTGGGCCCCCTCATACCTGTTTGTATCATACTAACCTATCAGGTAATCTCTTCTGTCTTAATTCTATAGAGCTGTGAGCACAAGTGGGTCACAAACCAGCTGACCCGTTCTCTTCCCTAACAGACACAAACCAGCTGACCCGTTCTCTTCCCTAAACCTGGGCCCTTTTCCAAGCCTGGTGGCTCTGTATACCCCGCACTCCGAGCGCGACACTACACATTTCCTCACTGCCTCCTAAGCCATCTCCTTCCCAGCCCACTGTAAAAGACACCAGAAAACCATCTTTGACCTCACGTTCTGCAGCAGTCCAACCATCTTCAGCCACTAAGTCAACAGTAAGCCCTAGCTCTATCTTCGCTAGCCCCTCCCGCTTTTATCTCACATGCCCCCACCCATTTTCACTAAAGACCTGGGACGATTCCCACCCAAAACGACCTCTACAGGGAGCACTCCAGTTTGCTGCATTCACCAAGTCCATAGGACAACTCCTGCCCCAAAGAAGTTTCCACCATTTGCGGCTTCCCAAATTGCCTGCTCCAGAATGAGATGTCACGACTCTCCTGCAATGGAGTCGCACTTACTCTCAACTGATAAAAGCAGCTGAAAAAAGAGAGACCCTGGAATAGTCACCTGCCACCACATATCTGCCTCTGCACCCCAGAAAACACAGCTTCTCCACCCTACAATTCTGTGTGCCTCACCTCCCACCCCAACATCTGGAAGAAATCCGCAACTTACTTCTAGCTCAGAAGGAATCTTCCGTATTTTAACATAAAAGTAAGAGACCTTCAACACCATCTGAAACACCAAGCCCCACACCACGCCCTTTCACAGGCTGACTTCGGCAAAGGCTTGGGGCACAATGACATCATCTAGGTAAAACACGTTTTCTAGAAAAGCTGTTTTCTGAAAGAAACCAGTTCCAACTTGACCAGGGAGGCAAGTATCTAACTTGGGCTACAACTCGCTTCAGGGCAGGGGGGACCTGCCGGCAATTCAGGCTCATACCAGGCCACACTGCAGGAGAGAGGAGGAGCCTGCCCCCCCCCCCTTCCCACAACCCGGCGTCCCGCACACTGGGCTGGGCGTTGGAGCATCCTTCCTTAGGAATCGCCTGGACCACGGGGCTGCGGGGTCCAAAGCGGAGCTGCTTCCACACCAACTGAAGAAGCATGTGGATGATGAAGTTGCCTGCGCGGCCGGGCAGCTCGTAACACAACTCGTCGTTCCAATGAAAAAATAAAATCGAGGCAAGTTCCCACCACCTCCCCTCTCCACGAGGATTTAAGGCAGCGGGGGAAGCAGGAAAGGGGTGGGGGGAGGTCTTCTGCACCGACCCTCTTAATACCCCGATCCTTGGGTCCAAAAACAATCACGCACCTCCGGCCCAGGGGGCCACGCCACGGGAGGCCCTGGGGCCGGGCAGAGGTGAGGGGCGAGAGGCGCCCATCCCGGGGGTGGGGGGGTAAGGGCAGGGGCTTTTGCAGGTGCGGTGGAGCAGCCCCCCACGCACGTTAGACCCTGCAGGAGTCGCGGCTCCGGGAAGGGTCTCCGGGTAGGTTCCCGCTCACTCATCCGCCAAGGAGATGGGGCAGATTGGGGGGCCCGTCCGGAGGGAGGCGGCGGAGGCAAAGTCCCAGGAGGTGACTAGGGGGTGTCTCGGCGCCCGGGGGAGGCGTGGCCAGGCCCGCCGGTGTGAGTGAGTGTGTGCGTGTGTGCGCGCGCGGGGAGGGGGTACCCCGCTGGCCCGCCCCGGCCCGCCCTACCGTGGCTCTGCAGGATCTCGTGCTTGAGGCCGCCCGTGTAGTCGATGAGCTCCTCCAGGCCGCGCTCGCACAGCTGCCCGTAGCCCGAGAACTTGTGCAGCACCTTTTCCAGCTCGCGCTCCACGGTCACGCACTGATCCATCCCGGAGGCGGCGGCGGCCGCGCCGGCGCCCGGCTCCCCGGCGCCCGGGTGTCCGCAGCCGTTCGGCCCGGGCCCGGCCGAGGCCGCGTCCTGCTCCTCGTCCCCCAGGCGGGCGGCGCGGGCGGCAGACACGAGCCGGAGCGGCGGGCGCGCTAGCCGCGGCGCCGGGGGTGCCCCGCGCAGCCCGAGCCAGCCGGCCCCATGGCGCCCCGGCCCCCGGCGCGTCGCCGCGTCCCCCGCTCGCCCGCCCCGCCCGGCCCCGCGTCCCCGGTGCCCACTCGCCGCGTTCGGCCGCCCGCGACGGCGCCGCCGATTGTTTTTGTTTTCACGGGAACCGACCGATGACCTGGTTCTCCCGGGCGGCACCAAGCGCCGCCGGCCCGAGGGGGAGCAGCCGCCCGACGAGGGACGGAGGCGGCGCGGACCGTACCACGCGGACCCCCGAGGGGGAGCGCCGGGCCGGCGCGGGCGCAGGAACGCGCCACGCGGGAGGCGTGCTAGCGAGAGGCCGGGGGTGGAGCCAGGACCCAATTGGTCCGAGAAGCTAAATAGGGAACTTTGGAGCCGGCCCGGGAGCTCCGAGAGCGCCACAACTACGCGCTCCGTAAACAAGAGGGTGGAAACCGTCCCGCACCACTCCGGGGAAACCAGCCAATGGGCGGCGGGGAGGGACGTAAGGAGCACGCGTCCTCCAATCGCTGGCCGCGGCGTAAAGCGCCGGCCAATCCGGATCGAGGGGCCGAACCAAGAGGCTCGTTGTTGGAGGGGGGCGACTTGGCGTGCCTGCCGGCAGGCGGGTCGGCTCGGAAAGAGCCGGGAAGAAATAATAGCAAACGGAAAGGAAAGGGCTGTTTGACCCGGAGGTCTGCGTCCTAGCAGTCAGTGACTTCGTCTTCCCATCGCTCCCGGGAGGATTGTCGCTCTGAAGTTTTGAAAAAAAAAAAGTATTCGCCGCCCCAGGCGAAAAACCTAGCGAGATGGGGCTGGGGTGGGGGTGGCCACAGCCCGGGTGGGTGCTGGGGTTCTCGGAGGGGGTGCTGGGACCTGCGCGCCGGGTCGGCGGGAAGGGTCAGCGCGGCGCTCTGCGTGCTGCAAGGAGGCTCGCGGTGCTGGGACCGCACACGCCGTCTTTCCTGCGTGCCTGGCTCTTTCTCCCCAGTGCGTGAAACTCTCCTGCCGGTCCAGGGCCAGGCACCGTCGTGCGTTGGAAGGAGCCGGCGTTGGAAAGCCAGGCAACCCGGCCTGTGCACGCCTCCTGGGAGCCTTATTCCATTGAATTGGATTGAATTACACCCTTCCGGTCAATCCTCTCTGACTTGGTCTGGCGCCTCCAACTTTCGCCTAAGCCTATTTGCTCACCCAGCCGCGGCTGGCTCAGCAGACAGTCCTTTGAAGACCTAAACTGTCATTCTGCACTCAGCCTTTCTTAGGACTGGGCCACTCGTGCACTTTCTGCCCAAGTTCTCAGCTCATTGTGAGCATCCCCTCACCACTCTCATGCGGCCTTCACTTACCCCCACACTCCCTTCTCCATTGCTAACTCAGATTCATTGTGTCACCATTAGCAATTTTCACAGCTCTTGTCAAAAACTAAAATCGTTTAACTCATGCATTCGTTTACTTTTCTGGGTTCCCCGCCATTAAACGTTCCATGAATAGGGTCAGAGAGATAGTGTGGAGGTTAAGGTGTTTGCTTGCATGTATTCTTCCCTGGTTAGTCACTGCACGCATATGGCCCCCTGTGCAACTATGCTGTGGCTCCAAAAACAAAACACACACACACACACACACACACACACACACACACACACGCGCACACACACATACACACATATGTTTATATACTCCATGGGGGCAGGACCTTTGCCCGTCTTTATTCTCGACCTAGAATAATAATCATGCGTGGGTCACCGTTTATTTTTTTAAAGGCAAAAGACTTAAATGATCTGAAGAGAAACCCGCATATCTAAATCAACGCTAAGCCCCTGAGGTGAAGTTTTGGGCCAAATTCCCAGGTGTTCAGAAGCAATGCCTGGCTCTGCTCAGGAGTGCCCCCTGGCAGTTCCTGAGTGACATATACTGTGCCCCGGGTCCAACCTGGTTCTGGGAATGCAAGACCAAGTACCTTAATCCCCGTGTCCCCAAGGCAAAATCTTTATGAGTTTTTATTTATTATATTTTAAGAATAACTAGATCAATACTTAGGAAAATTAACTGAGATTTATGTGTAAGTGACCCTATGCTTATGCACAGGATATGCACGTGATGCAGGTGTGTTACTGTATCAGTATCCAGGATTGCATCTTAGGTGGCATATTGAATTCATGGAATTCAGCTAATCATGTCATTCATTTCTGTTATCCAGGGAAGCCCCAGTTATTGTCATACATCCCTTTTCTACAACCCCACCTAATCTGTTTGCCTTTCTCCCCGCTTTCCTAGCAGACGGCCCTGATTCCTGCTTCACTGAAAAATACATAAATCATCCAGTCCAGCACCCTCTGCCACTCTTTCAAGATATTTCTGTCAATTTCATTCATTTTGTGAACCATGGAACACCCAACAGTCTCTTCCCCCTTTTTATTTTTTTAATTTTATTTTTATAAGGTTGTTCACATTAATTGATTACATTCCATATTTCAACACCAGTCCCACCACCATTACATCTTCCCACCACCATTATTTCGAATTTTCCTACCACTGTTCAAGCCTGTCTGCCACAGGCAGATTCTAGATAATTTAATTTCTGTTGCTTATTATGAATATCATGAGTGGTCGTGCAGCCACTTTTGCGGCTGTGTGCTCCTGGAATTCTAAATATGTAAATGATTGGGGTCCAGAGATCTCTCTGTAGGGAGCTAATCCATTTTGGGATTCATTTGTGAGTCGCTGGATCAAGGGTCCTGGCACTTAAATATAGCCCAGAAGCAGTTCGTGAGTGTGACTCTGGGACCCTGAAGGGGCAGGGAGACACCATGTGGCCTAGTGTCTTCAGGCCCTGTTCCTGTGTATCTGGGTTTTTCTTCTGGAAGTTTGTGGCACTGAGGGTTCATCTGGAGTGAGCGAAGAGGGGACACCGGCTCCATCTGAGGAGCCCCAGTGAAATTAGCTTGGCTCACAATACGGAGAGATCTCCATCTCTGGGGTTCACTGCTAAGTCTCTCTTCTCCCTTTTTAAACCCATCCTTAGGCTGCTGACTTCATCTCAGCGTCTTCCAGCTTCCTTCCTCCCTCCCCACCCCTTCCTTTGCCCTGGATTTTTCTTTTATGCCTTGAGGATCTACATGAGTCTGGGGTGTGCCTCGGGTGTACCTTCTTTGAACCTCCCTCAAGCTGTTTCCCCTTACTTCCCACTCATTCCCCTGCCAAACTGACCAGACAACAAATCCTCTATTCTTGTTCTTTCCTTTTCTCGAAAGATCTTGTTCATAAGTTGTTATTCTTTTTCTTTTTTTTTCCTTGACATCATGGCAACACAAGAAAATCCTTCCTCTTTCAAATTCTATTTTGTCCCTGGAGATCAGCCCCTGAGTATTTTTATTGCTCATCCTGGCTTCTTCCCTTCCTAAAAATGTGCCTCTACTCCAGTTTTTCTATAAAACTGCCTCTTGTGACTATCAAGGCAGTTGCTTTGAGGGCATGTCTTCCATCTTTGGACCAGTAAAACTCTGATATATATATATCACGATCACGACCATCCTGTTATTCTTCGATTGCCTCGAGCAGGCCCCAGTAACGTCTCCTTCATCCTAGCCCTGAGATTTTTTTAAAAGTGCCATATTCAAGGCTCTTTCAGGGTTAGGAGAATAAGACCCATCATTGTTACTGGTATTTGGCATATTGGGTACGCCACGGGGAGTTCGCCAGACTCTGCCGTGTGGGCAGGTTACATACTCTTTATCAGAGTTACAAATGAGAAAACTGAAACCCAGGAGAGTAAGTGACCTACTCAAGGTCACGTGGGTGATACATAAATGGGCAAATTCAGAGCAGAGCCAGGTTCCCTGCCTTTTGCAGCAGACATCCCCATTACTACATTCAATTAGTGACTTCTGAGATGGTTTCAAAACTTTGAAACTTAAAAAGATTTATTGTATTTCCCCTTCTATGCTTGGATTATATATCTCAGTGGAAATGAATTGAGTTACTTGTGTGTCTGCCTGTCTGTCTGTGAACAGACACCCTCTTTTGTTTAAGGTGACTTAGCAATGAAAAATAATATATTTTTTTTTTACTCCAGGGTATAAATAAGCCTGGAGTCAGCCCTTCTCCTTCGCAGACTTTGCTTTTCACCTTCGTTGTAGGTTTTCTCCTATTTCTGACCACAGCCTTCCCTTATCTTTTGTCTACTGCCTGTGAAAAATACATTACCATTGTCTTTCTCCAGGCCTGATTTGCCTCATAAATTTCTAATTCTCCCAAATGCAAGACAACATCTTCGTGAAGACTTATCCAACAACATACCAAAAACACTTTCCCTTCCAAACCCAATCCTTCTCTCTTCAATACTTCATTTTTGTCAACTTTACCTAATTCTCCCAGGTTCCTCTGCTGCATCTCTCTCTTCATCTCTAATTTGATTCTAGAATTCTTGAAAACCTCTTCTCCATCAAAGTTCTTAACTCCTGTTCTTTCCAGTGAAACCCATCTACATCCTTCTCAAGATTCCTTTGTTATATCAGTTGCCTTCATTCACCCGAGAATCATTAGTAATTCCCTATACTCTAAAGATACAGGTTGTCTCACTCCCTCCTTTATCTTCCTTCCACCTTTAGTCAGAAATCAAGTTCTTTCAAGTTACCCATCTGCCGTCTTGAATAAGGCTTTTCATGTTTACATCCCTCACATTCATCAGTGCCCTTGATGGAGTTCCAGGATTGTAATTGCTTCTCTTACCTGCTTTTGATCTCCTATCCCTGTAGCACCACCAGTTGAATCAATATTCCTTTCCAAAAGTTGTTATAATTAAATTAGATGATCCATGCCAGACACTCAACATAATGTAACTTGTTTGGTAAGAGCTGTGGTTATCCCCTAATCTGAAATAAACCCGTGGTCCCCCATTGCCTGTAGCTTCCAATCCTCTCAGTTAGTTGCAAGGTTCACCTAGCATAGCAGGAACATCACAATCCCCTATCTAAAAACCACCCACTTTTACGCACCTGCATCCAACTGCTTTAACAATTTCTTTGTGAACCGAATGCAAATCATGTTTTTTCTTCTGGGATGCTTTTACT